TACCACTACAGCTACTCCAACCCATTTACCACATTAACCACACACATGAAAACTCCAAATTACTTTAAACCAGATGAAACTGCAGGGTTGGCTAAAGATGAAGAAGGAGCCAGGGACGCTCTTGATAGTGGTATCGATGTTATTGAGAAAGATGAATGTTTGGAGCACACATTGAATTTTGAGGCCATCGTAGCATGCGAGAGGTATTGCTCGGAGGTTGCCATCACACTTCTTGATTCTGTAAGTGTCAGATGTAGTGATTTTTGACCAATGGCGTGATGGAGAGCAGCATCTAGACAAGGAATAAGAGTGATTTTGGGATTTTGGAGAGAGCGGCAAGGATTGAGACCAACGACGAGATGAATTTGGGTTCGAATGTGATTTTTCATTTAGGTCCCATTTGGCGATGGAAAGAGTAAATTTAATGAACGCTCATCAAACTTTACTTTATATTACTACTTGCTCACCAAACAATAAAATATAACCCGTTGCTCATCCATCTTTTCGATTAATTACCCGTTCATCACTCGTTTAATTTCCGTCATTCTCAACTAACGGAATACGACACGTGGCAGACGGATTCCAACGTGGCACATAACAAACATTCAATAATGCCAAATGGTCCAAAAGTGTGAAAAGCCGATGGCAATCCATTATTTCTTAATCCTGTAGCTCACGTTTTCATTTAAAAAAATATATATATATATATATTCTTTGCTTTGAAGACAACAGGAACCCTTGTTTACGCTTCATCTGCCTCAATAATTTTTCAAATATGAATCCACAAGAGCCAAATCAGATTTCACTAATCTGGGTCTACTAAATCTTGAGCAAAACAAGAAGACCCACCAACCTTGGGTATGGAATGTAATATCATTGTGGAAGAAACAAGTTTGGCGGTAGATGAGGAGGGAACATCACGTGGTAAATGTATTAAACTTTTCATTGGATTCTGACTATTTTCTCATGGGACCACAACTTTGTAGTTGTATCTTTGTTTATTTGCATCTTTTTCCTTTCTTTTTTTCCCTGTGAAATCATATTTTTATCATTTTCAATTGAATCTATATTTTTTTATCTGGGACAATAAATTATTTTTGGGGACCATAATCATCATCTTTTATTTGTTTATTTTATATCTGCATATATACATGTGTTTGGAAAACCCTAACATATAATTTTCAATGCAGACCAGACCTTCAACGAAGAGGAATTGATACCTGTTCAATGCCACTTCAATGATTCAGATGATGAGGTTAATGATGATAGTTTTCAGTTTGACAGGAATGCACCTGAACGCATTGTGGTAGGATTTAATGCAGACCCGACACTTGAATTCGAGGCCACAAGTACAGAGGAGTTGGGGTTGTCGGATGGCTATTGTTCTTGTGAGGAGGAATTACATACTGATAATTCTTCTAGCGAAGAAAAGAATTATCGCTTTCCCATTTATGATGCTAAAAGAGAAAAGTATGACCCGCAATTAGAGGTTGGGAAGGAGTTCAAAAATATTGAGGAGTTTAAACAAGCTATTAGGAATTATGGGGTTGCAACTAGGCACACCGAAATAACACACGGGGATTATCATATCTGCATGAGGAAATGATTTTAATCAACTTCATTTATTAATTATAAGAAAAAGGAGAACAAAAATCAACTACAGCCAATTGGCTGTTTAACAGCCAACAGCCGGCTGTTCGGCTGTTTAACAGCCAAGCAGTCGGACTGTTTCCGACTGTTTAGCTGTTTGTTAAGCCAAAACACCCAGTTTGACGTAGGAGAATACCGTTCTAAAGTTATACATCTGTTTAATTTTTTTTTGATAGGTAAGATCTGTTAAAAAAATCTATGTCAACATAAAATTTCTCTATTTAAACGTATACTAATTTACTGAAAACGAAATTAAACATGCGTAAATGTACTTACCAATTTGAAGTAATTGATGTGAAAAAAATTTCCAGCTTCAACGTTCCAAAGTTCTTCTAGATTTTGAGGTTCAAACAGATGAAAAGATGAGAGTTTATCCTGTGTTGGAAGCTCGTTTTGAAGTTTTTATAAGTGGAGAAATGTTTGATTTTCAATTATTAACTAAAAGGGTAGTATAATCCTTTCAACAATATATTGTTTTGTAATTATACAAAACATTTAAGGGCATCTTTGTCTTTTACCATACAAGAGGCCAATGTCATAATATTCATGATTTTGGAAGTCAAAGTGGAATTTAGCTCCTTTGACTGGGTCAAACTTAAAAGTACCCCACCGCAATTCTCGTTTGATGGAGAAAGCAGTTTTGATTGCTTCCCTTTTCCAATTTCTTTACCATCATCCGATGGAGGAAGCAATTTTGATTGCTTCACAACAATTTCTTCATTACTCTCCTTGATCTCGCTTCAGATCTAGAATGGTGGTTCCATTGACCACACTAATAACACAAATCAAATTCAATTTACCGCACCAACTATACCGACATCGCCAACTCCACCTACCACTACAGCTACTCCAACCCATTTACCACATTAACCACACACATGAAAACTCCAAATTACTTTAAACCAGATGAAACTGCCGGGTTGGCTAAAGATAAAGAAGGAGCCAGGGACGCTCTTGATAGTGGTATCGATGTTATTGAGAAAGATGAACGTTTGGAGCACACATTGAATTTTGAGGCCATCGTAGCATGCGAGAGGTATTGCTCGAAGGTTGCCATCACACTTCTTGATTCTGTAAGTGTCAGATGTAGTGATTTTTGACCAATGGCGCGATGGAGAGCAGCATCTAGACAAGGAATAAGAGTGATTTTGGGATTTTGGAGAGAGCGGCAAGGATTGAGACCAACAACGAGATGAATTTGGGTTCGAATGTGATTTTTCATTTAGGTCCCATTTGGCGATGGAAAGAGTAAATTTAATGAACGCTCATCAAACTTTACTTTATATTACTACTTGCTCACCAAACAATAAAATATAACCCGTTGCTCATCCATCTTTTCGATTAATTACCCGTTCATCACTCGTTTAATTTCCGTCATTCTCAACTAACGGAATACGACACGTGGCAGACGGATTCCAACGTGGCACATAACAAACATTCAATAATGCCAAATGGTCCAAAAGTGTGAAAAGCCGATGGCAATCCATTATTTCTTAATCCTGTAGCTCACGTTTTCATTTAAAAAAATATATATATATATATATTCTTTGCTTTGAAGACAACAGGAACCCTTGTTTACGCTTCATCTGCCTCAATAATTTTTCAAATATGAATCCACAAGAGCCAAATCAGATTTCACTAATCTGGGTCTACTAAATCTTGAGCAAAACAAGAAGACCCACCAACCTTGGGTATGGAATGTAATATCATTGTGGAAGAAACAAGTTTGGCGGTAGATGAGGAGGGAACATCACGTGGTAAATGTATTAAACTTTTCATTGGATTCTGACTATTTTCTCATGGGACCACAACTTTGTAGTTGTATCTTTGTTTATTTGCATCTTTTTCCTTTCTTTTTTTCCCTGTGAAATCATATTTTTATCATTTTCAATTGAATCTATATTTTTTTATCTGGGACAATAAATTATTTTTGGGGACCATAATCATCATCTTTTATTTGTTTATTTTATATCTGCATATATACATGTGTTTGGAAAACCCTAACATATAATTTTCAATGCAGACCAGACCTTCAACGAAGAGGAATTGATACCTGTTCAATGCCACTTCAATGATTCAGATGATGAGGTTAATGATGATAGTTTTCAGTTTGACAGGAATGCACCTGAACGCATTGTGGTAGGATTTAATGCAGACCCGACACTTGAATTCGAGGCCACAAGTACAGAGGAGTTGGGGTTGTCGGATGGCTATTGTTCTTGTGAGGAGGAATTACATACTGATAATTCTTCTAGCGAAGAAAAGAATTATCGCTTTCCCATTTATGATGCTAAAAGAGAAAAGTATGACCCGCAATTAGAGGTTGGGAAGGAGTTCAAAAATATTGAGGAGTTTAAACAAGCTATTAGGAATTATGGGGTTGTAACTAGGCATAATTTTCGATTTAGGCCAAATGATAATGAGAGGGCAGAGGCCATATGCAAAAAAGACAATTGCAATTTTAGGATTTGGGTGTCGTTGAATAAGGTGTTTGGTTGTGTGCAAATAAAGTCTAAGAATTCAGAGCACACATGTACGCGGGACAGAACGAATAGGCATTGTACTGCTAGGTATATAGTTGAGAGGTATTTGGAGACTTTTAAAGTTGATCCCGATTGGAAGACTAGATTGATTAAGAAAGCTGTGAAGGATGATTTGAAGTTGACAATCAGCGATGTTACTACCTGGAGGGCTAGAAGATATGCTAGGATATTAATAGAGGGTTCCGATGAGCACCAATTTGGTTTGCTTAGGTCTTTTGCATCTGAAATTTTGAGAACCAATCCCGGTTCTACATGTATAATTGCCATGAATGTAGACAAGTTTCAAGGAATATATGTTTGTTTAGAAGCTTGCAAAAAAGGGTTCATATCAGGATGTAGGCAGCTTTTAGGGTTGGATGGGTGTTTTCTGAAAGGCACTTTTGGAGGTCGATGCTCGTGGCAGTAGCATTAGATGCCAACGATTGTATTTATCCAGTAGCATATGCTTTAGTGGAGAGAGAGAATGCTACTGCTTGGAGGTGGTTTATACAACATCTGGGCGAAGATTTGTGGATTGTTAATAGTAATGAGTGGATTTTTATGACTGATAGGCAAAAAGGTTTACAGAACGTGATAGAGGATTTATATCCAGAGGCTGAACATCGATTTTGTGTTAGACACATGTACACTAATTTCTTTATGGCTGATTTTAAGGGTCTGACTTTGAAAGAGTACTTATGGAGGGCTGCAAAGTCAACAACAGTGCCTGATTGGAAATTCTGGATGGATGAAATTGAGAAGATGAGCAAAGCTGCACATGGTTGGTTAATGAAGAGGCATCCTAGTGAGTGGAGTAAAGCTTATTTTCTGACAAAGGTGAAGAGTGATATAGTTCTAAATAATCTTTGCGAAGTATTTAACAATATGGTGTTGGTGGATAGGGAAAAGTCCATATTAACCATGTTGGTTGATTTACATATAAGTTTCATGAAGAGGATACAATTAAGGAGGGATAAAATGAGAAAAGCTACAGGACCTTTATGCCCTAAAATACAACAAAAATTAATGAAGAACGCTGAAATGGCTGAGGGATTTGAGGTGGATTGGTCAGGCGGGGCACAATCTTACGTCAAGTGTTCGAATGGAGAATATGTTGTTGATTTTCCAAACAGGACATGTGCGTGTAGGAGATGGGATTTGACAGGTATTCCTTGTGCTCATGCAATTGCTGCTATTTTAGATAGATATGGTGAGCCTTGGAAGTACGTTCATGAGTGCTATGGAGTTGATACCTATCTCAGTTGCTATGAGAATATTATTAATCCTATAAATGGGTCAAAGTTATGGTATCCAGTACATGCCCCTCCAATCAAACCACCAGGTTGGTTTGTGACCAAAAGAGGGAGAAAGCAGAAGAAGAGAAGGAGACATCAAGAAGAAGATGTCATTACCCGTTCGGGCTTAAAGGCAAAAATGAAGAAACGAGGAACTGTGCTTATGACTTGTAGTGTTAGTGGAAGAACGGGGCACAACATGCGATACCATCGGAGGCCTGATGCACCACAAGAGGTTCTTGTTCTTTTAAGTAGTTTTAATTTTAGTCTTTTCGTATGTTTTCTTAGAATGATAATTTTATGTGATTATTTTTTTTAGGATTCGGTTGCTTATGATGTCGAGCGTACAATTCAAGAAAGGTCTAATCAGATTAATGACGACAACTTAAGGGTAAAATAAATATTGTGTGTTTCGCAATAGTACTGGCTTGCGTTTAATATGTACCCAAACTGATTATAGTTTGTTCATTTGGTTTTCCATTTTAACATAGGCAAAGCTAGTGCCTAGGAGATCAAACACGAGTCCAAGATATGAAGTTCAACCACCACCACCACCTTCAGCATCTGAGTTTCAGTTCATGCCAACACCTGGATTAGGTCTGACAAATGATGCACAATATGACTGGAGTGCTCCTCCACTTACTGAGCCAGGTTCTTCAATGACTGTGAAAGGCATGTTAACTAGAGCATTTGTGCAAATCCCAACTGAAAATATCCCAGTCCAGAATATGGTGGAAGATTTGCAACAAATTGATGCTCAAGAAAATGCACAAAAGAGGGCAGCTAGAGCAAAGAATAGAAAAGTCGTAAGAGGCTCAGCTCGATATGCACCTCCAAGGAAAATGACCCATGCAGCTACTCAATAGAAAAACAATTTGTCATTAGCACTTTAAAAGTTATGCCATATTTTGCAACAAGCTAGTTGGGATTGTAAACTGCTACTTAGATAACTTTATTGGGCTTTTTTTGTGGTATGAATGGAATTTTTTTTTGACGTTAGTTGCTTCTCAAGATGTTATGCATTTTGTTTAATCATTGGGAGTAATGCAACCATGGTGTATCCATTTAAATGCAATACGATGCATCAGAACAATGCTGCGTCAAATTGCATTTAACTGGTGCAATTTGATGCATCATAGTGGTGGAATTTTTTTGATGCCCATATAGCTGATTGTCTGCCTCATTAAATAACCACCAGCAACCTCCACCATCTTATTAACCAGCAATTATCATATAAAAAACACAATAACAGGAAAAATTTAAGAATAAATCCTTAAAACACATGAAGGATTAAATTCCATTCCATTCAATTATAGTTGCAATACACATTCAACACAAGCCGCCAATTTTTCCCACTACAATACAGGGAAAATGTTTATGTCGTGGCACTAATAGCAAAGACAATTTTTCCTACAACAATCATGGATGTATATCAATTAATCAAGATGTTCAGGACAAAGAAACGCCAAGGATAATTGCCTCAGTGACGTTCCAGTTTGTTCAACCGAAGGAAAACCACCCTGCAAATAAGAACAAAATTTAATTAAGAACTCGCAATCAAGATGTCAAGATATAAATCATTTCACAAATAAATCAAACTCCATGCTGTAATTTAGTATTTCAAACTTGGAATTTGTTTAGTTTTATTCTTATGTGATGGATTTGACAAAGCAAATCAGACCTTCATTTTATTATATGACTCTACTCAATAAACAAATTGTTCTACATAAAGCAAAGTACCAAGATTTTTACAAACTCAACACAGATGGGACTATAATCTAATCCACATGTTAAAGAAAAATAAAAAATTGTATTGATTAAGAGAAATAGAAAACAAACCTTGCAATGATGATATTCAAATTTCCAGTCTTTGCATCACAAGCATTCAGTTGATGTTATTAAACAAAGTATCTAACCCACTTAATTCAAACCCTTTAAGGAAAATACGGATATGATGCAGCCAACAATTTAAAATTAGGGTCATCCAATGCGTCTCTGAACTTTCACCATAGAAGAAGTTGTTGTATAGAAGAAATATATTTTGGGGGGCAATTCTTAGGGTTCATGGGATTTGAGGGCGATTTTGCATTCTTCCATTGATTTAGAAATGTTTTTATGTTGGAAAGTGTTCTTCCATGGGATTTGGGGGCGATTTTGTTATTTCAATTTGGGCTTTTCATGCTTTTGGACCATTTGGCATTATTGAATGTGTGTTATGTGCCATGTTGGAATCCGTCTGCCACATGTCGTATTCCGTTAGTTGAGAATGACGAAAATTAAACGAGTGACACGGGTAATTAATCGAAAAGATGGATGAGCAACTGGTTATATTTTATTGTTCGGTGAGCAAGTAGTAATATGAAGTAAAGT